TTTGAGTCAAAAAAGCGCTAGAGCTTTGAATTTGATATTGGAAATCATATAGCAAACTGGGTTCGTAGGCGGATTTGAGAATTTGTCCCAGAACCCCCAAAATGCCCTATATGAATCTGCCAATTTTAGTTGATTGGATAGATTTTGTGATAAAGTAAAAATCATGTGATTTATAAGGTAACTTTTAGTTTATTATAGTACTTTATTTAATATCTTTGAGAAAGTACATAATATCTCTCTATAACGAAAGAAAAACAATTGACATGCTACTAGATTTTTGAAAATACATTCTAAAGATTCTATTATTATTCTATCACAATTTGATAATGCTTTCTATTATGATATCTTCTGATTAGATTTTTAGATTAATAGTAATTAGACCTTCCTCCTGGATTTTTAAGGTTATTTATTTATATAAGTAATTAGTCTAGAAATATGCAAGGTCAGTTTTGATTTAATTTAACCTCCTAGATTAGAATAAATAGAAATTTTCATTTTTTCATGTATTTGTTTTTGTATTTTATATAAATTTATCAATTCAATAAAGATTTAGTGAAATTATCACACATTAAAAAAAACAATAAGAATATCTCAAAGATCAGTGTTTCTAGCTCAGTGGTTAAATTGTGAGTCTTCTATTAAGCTAAAGTTTCATTACATAATAATAAGCCATCAGTTTAGGTATCGGCTGATATATAAAAACTAGATGATTTTCATAAGAATTTCATATGTAGCTGTATTAATTATCGTATATACTAATATACGTACAAATCTGATTGATTAATCTATTGATCAACATTAATCATGCCTAAATACTGCATAGTATTAGAACATGTAGATGCAGTAAATCAGATTTTATTTTATAGATTTTAATATAAATAATTTATCTGAATTATGAAATTAATAAATTAATAATGTATTTAACTTTTAATTTCTTATATATAACAATTCAAATTTTATAATTTTGATCTAAATATATAATCATTTGTAAATTATTTAATTATATTTATATGAATCTAATTTCTAATTTATATAATAAAAAATCTTTATAAAGCTAATAATAATAATATTATTAAAATATTTTTTTTTTTGTTTTTTTTTTTAATAATAAAAATTATTTTAAAAATTATTAAAAAATAATAAAATAAGTTTTTTATAATATTTAAAATTAAAAAAATAAAACTTATTTTTATATATTAAATATTTATATCAAATTTAAATATTAATTTACTTATTTTTTATTAATATCCTTATATTATATATATTATATTAATAAACTATAAAATATTAGATATTAAAAATATTTAATAATTTTTTAATATTATTTTTATTTCTTTCATTTAGATTATAAATATAAATATATTATTTATTATTATTATTTCTAGCCAAACTTACTTTTTTTCAATAAGTATTATTAATAAAATTAATTATTGTAATTGATTATACAACTAATCTAAATAAATAAAAAATAATAAATAACTTAAAATCGAACAGGTTACTTTCATTGTTTGTTTTTAATTTTCATCAATAACAGTTTCTTCTTCACTTAAATTATTTTCATCATCATTTAAAAACGGCTTGTTATTAGAATCATTACAGGCCTATATAAAAACAATATTTTATCAGGTTAATACTTTACAAAAAATTTTAAAAAAAAATATTTACTTACTTCTAAAAGGGCAATACACCATTCAGATAATGGTTTAATACACCATCTAGTTGGTTGCCACCAACCAGTAAACCAACCAAGATGACCACCATAATAAGTAGTTGCTAAAATAATATTTGGATTATAGATACATTCATCATAAGGAATACATTCTTGTGAAGCAATTGGATCATCTTCAGCGTTTAAACATAATAATGGTATTTTGACTTTTGTTATATATTGTGATGAACTGGCATCTCTATAATAGTGGTCTACTGTTTCATATCCAAAACTTATTGCGGTTAATCTTGAATCAAATTCCCTTATCGTATTTGCCTTGAATTTTTTTTTTTAAACAAAAGTTAATTATGTAAGTTAAATACATATTTATTTATTTGTTATTTATTCTTGGAAAAATTAAATTATAAATTTACCGATTTTACGTATTTCAAATCTAATCTTTTGTCTTGTTTCATAACATGTTCATGCCTTGAAAGTGCCATTTTAAGATTATTTGCCAAAGTTGGTGAATAAATGTATTTTCCAATATAAGTCCTTTCCAACGATCTGCATCCACTAATATATATATATATATATATATACATTAATTTTTTTTTTCAGTAATATTAAAAAATTCAAAATTTCAAATGAATGAATGAAAAAATATATAAACCCAATCAAATCAAAAGGGTTCGCAACTGAAGCCGCGGCAAACAAAGGAGTTCTTTCGCCTTCTTCTCCGAGATACTATAAAAGAACAGTTCATTGTAATCCTCAGAAAGATTTACGAGCTAAACTGCTGTGACGAAAATACCTTAACTAACATATTTGCACCCATACTAAATCCAATACCTAAAAGAGGAGCATTAGGAATACATTTTCTAATATAACTTATAACAGGTCTAATATCATCAGTTACGCCAGCCGAATAAAGCCTTGGTGAAGTAATATCAGACTCTGCACACCCACGAAAATTGATTACGACAGCTCTATAATTATATGGCGGGTTAACTAGAATTTCTAATAAACATCTAATATACGATTCATGACTTCCTAAAATCAAAAAGAGAAATTAGTAAAACACTCTTTATTAAAAAATAAAAAATAAATAAATAAATGATACCTCCAGTTAATCCGTGTAAGACGACAATTGTCGGAGTATTATCGAATGGTTTGTTACTAAGCGGAGGAGTCCAATCGACAGCAATTTGTCCTCCATCAGAAGTGGAAACAAATTTCCTGATTTATAAACTAAATAAATTATAAAGAAAAAATAACAATTATCCAACTAAAAATTAAAAAAGGTAGTTAAAATTCTCACCTCTCATAATCAATTAAATGGATCCCTTCAAAGTTTTGGAAAGCAGCATATGCAGTTTGGGCATGGCCATTTCCGATCCAAGAAGTAGGATAATAATAAGCTTTTTCTCCAATTAATGAAGGGCAATTTTTTTGAACATAATCGTATAATTTAATTTTTTCTATCTCGTTTGATTCATTATTTCTTACATTTAATATAACTGTTTCTTTATTGCTATAAGTTTTTACTGGACACCCAAATATCGAAAGCATCGTGGAAAAAAAAGAAAATTCGAAACTTAATTGGATTACATAAATTTATTATGAAACCTTGGCGCAGCCGCAGTTCTCTAAATTCCATGTGAAAAATTTTCGGGTGACAGAAAAAATTTCCCCTGTAATTCTGTTAAGAACTTTCCTTTAATTACAGTTAGGGATCAATATAACACAATACATATTAAGGAAAATATTATAATCCCGCTCTTTTTTGTTTTTTCTTTTGATTAATTTTGGCGTAATTTTTAATGTCTGTTAACAAGATCATGTTTGGGTGGATTGTTTTTTTTCATTTTTTTTTTCTTATCGTATCATTTAATATATATAAATAACTCTAGGTGCTTTTTTTGTAATATTAAATTTTTCTTGAAAAAAAATTTATTTGTCCTTTATTCAACACATTCGTAATTCGTAATACCTTACTATTCCGTTTCTTTACCTATTAAGAGCTTTTTTTTCTCGAAATTTTTCGTGCAACAGACCAAAAAAAAAAATCACACGCAATGATCAATGAAATTTAACTATTAAATTATGCACTAAAATTCAAATTTTCTCTAAAGATTTTTCTAAATTTCCTAAACTTCATCAGTAGTTGAAAATCATAAATATTTATACATTTGGTGTAGCCAAACTTTCCCAATTGGAGTCCCCAACATCAATGCATCTTTTATAGAGATACTAGAGGATATGGTTTATTGTATAACGTTTTCAATTATATTGTACCTAAGCATATAATAATATGGCTAAATTTACCTTAGTATATCAATCAATAAACCCTATACGCCAATCAATATAAATAAAACTTCGAAATTTTATAAACCAATTCTCGGAAATCTTTTTTTTTTTTCCTTCACTTTAAATTTTAAAAACGATTAATAAAATATGGGAAATAAAAATAGTAGTAGTGGTAAAAAGAAAAAAAATTTGAAACCCACAACCACAGGTACATCAGGTACATCAAGTATATCAAATATTTCAAATAAATCCAATAATCAATACACCGCTTATCTTTCACCTACTTCTGATAGGATTTCAAGAATTTCAAATGAGCTCTTAAGGAGAAATTTTACTCAGATCGAAAGTTATTCTCTGAGAGCCTCATTTGAAAATCTTAGTACTACAAATGAAATAGGTATTTCTTATATCAATGAAGGAGCTTTTATTGTAAGTTTTTCATACCGGGTTGGTTAAAAATAACTTGCATCCATGTCTAATATATTATTTCTAACACACACGAATAGGGTTACCTAGGATTTCCTGATGATGTTGGTGCAGGCCCACTTATATATCGCTCCTTCATTTATCTAGCAAATTATCCTTCCAACAGTCAAATAAATACTCTTCTTACTTATGATGGGCTCATAAAAGCTGTAGCTGTATATTGTGACAAAACTAAAGATGTAATTAACGAGGATCGCGTAAAACTTCTTTTTGATTCATTTGCCATTTCCGTCGATAGAGTTGGTAATGAACAAAAGTCCCCTTCAGAATCGGATGGATCTTCTAGTCCTATTATAGTAATATCAAATGATAATGCCAATTTAGATAATGATAATGATAATAATGAATTTTTAAAAGCTATTGGACTTTATAATGAAATCGATCCTTCTAAAGTTTCAAAAGTACGATGTCAAGATATGGTGAAAATATTGACGGGACTAATATGGCTTATGTCTAGTGAAATGTCTTCAATTTCAACAAATTCTGAAGACTTGTTAGCAAATTTAAAAAAAATCGTTTCTCCAAAATTTATTAATCAAATCCGTGAAGATGTCATCCACGTCGTCGAACGTATGCATATGTCACAATGCAACAATAGCATCGGTATCAACGCCATGGAGTCAGACGATGTTATCTGTTGGCCAACATTCCAGAAATTCGTTGATAGAAATGCTCCGAGTATTTTTAGAGGTTTTATACCTTTTATGTATGGACAATTCTTAATAGGATTAACATTATCTCAACAAAGACAAGATTCATTATTCCAAGGACCAAAAGTTCAATATTGGCCAAAATTAGATACTCATTCAGACTTATTAAATCAAATGAATATGGGATTGTTATCTTGGATGTTGCCCGAGAAAGTTATCAAAAGACATCATTGGAATTGTTTATATAGTAGTAGTAGACACGGATTCAGTACGAACCGGTTTTCCAGTCACGTATTTAAATACCCAGGCCCTACTCTCATGTTAATACACGCGGATATATCAAAAAATCAAAATCGTGAATTAATCTCGATTTCACCGAACACTAGAGGATTTATACCTACTTCAAAACCTAATAAACTTGAAGATCATGTTTCCACTTTATTGTTGGGCGCTTATATTTCTGAACCGTGGAAATCCACTTCTAATCCGAAAACTTGTTTTGGATCGGATGAATGTGCACTCTTTGAAATTTGGCCGGTTTTCGAAAAATTTCCAGCATCCAAATTGAATTCAAGCTATGTTTATTATAATCCGTCATTTGGTATTGGTTTTGGTGGTATAGCTACGTCTGGTACAACATCCAACACGATAACAGTATCAGATCAAAATACATTTACACTTCAAATTGACAATACACTTCAACATGGTCGTTATCGAAATGATATTCTTCGTAATGACAAACCAACATATTCTCTATCGGTCACCAGGAATTTTTTTGATATACCGTTTGAAGTTTTAGAAATTGAGGTTTTTGGATTAGGTGGCGATTTGGCAAAAGAAAAACAAGAAAAAGAATGGGAATGGGAAGAAGCTGAAGTTGCCAAGAGAAATGGCCTTAATATTAAGAGAAATTGCAATAAAGAAGCCGATAGAGAAGTTCTCAAGGTTAGTCATTAAAAAAAAAATATTATTTTTAATTTTTACAACTATTTTCTTACAATTTGTTCATATTTTGTTAATACAATTCTAGTTGGCTGGAATTATTGACGAGAATTCACGAAGAGATGTTCAAATTTGGGAACCTTAATATATTATATCAAATATTTTTTGTATATATAAATATTTATTTTATCACTTTTTTTTTTATTAAATAAAAGACAGGAAAAAGTTAATAATAAATGATTACTAAGATTCGATTCTTTAAATTTCGAGATATTTATCATGAAATTTTGTTATAAATTTTAATATTTTTGACACCTTACGAAGGGTAAATTTTAACCTAATCTTTTAAAAAATAATGTTTTGTCTAAATCTGAACGGACATAAATTTAAATCCTTTTTTTTTTTTTTTTGTTTGCAACTTTATCCAGTTAAAAAAATAAGAAAGTTATTAGAACGAAATGATGTATCTTTTCAAACATATTGATCGATTTTATGCACAATGCATAATACCGCGTAACCGCATAACCGCATAATAAATTAATAGTTGCTTACCATCACTAGCTAGGAAAAAGCCGAGAGAATGTAACAGTAACGTTATTACTTGAATTTCGTGTTAACAAAGAATACTTTTTTGTACTTTTTGTGACCATTCTATGATTGTATCAGTAAAGAATTATTCATCAAATGGCGCAGTACACGCCAAAAATATGTGTTTTCTATTAATTATTTTTACTAATCAAAAATATTACCGGAAACACTGACTAGATTTTCATAATAGATATAAAAAAAAAAGTTTTAATAAGTCGCGAGGGTATATTTTATAGGTTGGCTATGTAATATCACTTCGATGAAATGAAAGGTATGAAACGATAACGTAGGGTGATTTCCCATTCGATTTACCTTTGCTTTCTAGCAAGGATGAATGGTTTGTTCTGGACAAAATAGTTCCTTTGAATAAGGTATACGGAGGAATCGGTTATGTGCCTTCCTAATTATAATTAAATGATGTTTGAATATAAAAATACAACGAAAACAAGAAGAATAGTGATAGGTAGGTTTAATAATAGGGATGTGTATAAGTCATACTGATTTTTTTTAAGAAAATTCTGATATATTCAAAGAAATAGAAACATTTTCATTACCTCTAACACTTTCGATTGCATTTGGAAGCACCTAGGAACTTTGTATTCCTTCATATTGTTCGAGTTTCAGCTCATCAGCTATAAAGAACAAGAAAGAAATCGCTTTTTATGGAAATGATCATAACCTTGCATCATTCATACTTGGTTTACAAAAGTTATTATCTCGGCAAAAAAATCTCGTCAATTACCTACAATAAAGATGGAACTGTAATTGTTTGATTGTTTGCAATTACTTACGCGATAATGCTTAAAATTGCATTGATTTGCATACCATGCAACAAATCTTCCTCGGAATTTATCATTTTGTTTATCTACTGTACATTGACATGTTACAAATTGTGGACCATGATCTTTTGGAGACATTACTGGTGCAAAATTATATGTGCAAGGACGACATGTTTGGAAATGAACAGATGTTGGATTCTCACATTTTCGCCCTTTTTTTCAATTGATAAACAATATATATATTATTATACCTAATAAAATTTAATTATTCTGATATAATTTTAAATTAATTATTTTTAAGTAAATGGGTAAGAAAATCTTATTACATTGTAAAAAAATTAAAATGCAATTAAAATCTCAATTTTGATAAAAAATTCTTAAAACTTAATTTTCTTAGATCACAATTAAAGATGGGAACTGTAATTAATATGTTGCAACTTTTAATGTTGCAACTTACGTTGCAATTAGTTTTAACATATAT